GGCAAGGTGAATCCGGGGGAGGCCTCGGGGAGGGGCGAGGGGGTGGTAAGCTCGGCGTGAACATCCCGAGCGCAGCGCAGCTGCGGGGACACCCAGACTACGCCTGTGGCTAAGCCGGGCTCTGGGCGTTTGCCGCCCGCGCTGGTTCCCGTAGTCTCTGCTGGTGCGTTGCGAGAGGTCAGCAAAGCTGGGGCAGCGCGGCCTGTGTTTCTGTTCCGAGTGGGAATTTCACCACTGCCCCGCCGGGGGGCCTCGGTTTGCTGCTGTCTCCGGTGGACCAAGTTGGCTTGGTCGCTCCAAGTTTGCTACTAAAAATACAAACCGGTGTTCGTCTCCTTTGCTGGAGTATGGGACATTGAGAAGGGCAGCCGTCTCCTCTTTAATTAGGACTCGGACCCTGTACACCTGCACTGGCGTGACCCTTAGCTGCTTCTGTGCCCTGGCACCGAGCCCTCCTTGGGGGAACCTGCACTAAGTACCCAGTGTGTCTCTCAGACGACTGGGTAGTGTCGACGCCTGAAAGATGTGACGGCAACAGGCGATCAAAACTGAATGAATCGGGAAGTCACTAAACATGGGTGAGACACATACCAGAGATTGAAGAGGAAAGAATACCTTGAGTGTAGCCAGTGCAGAGTCTGCTTCTTGTAAGGCTGTTTGCCTGCACCTTTACCCCCTGCTCCCCACCCGTATCGCGCAGATTTCCTTCTGCTGCTGGGATTTCCAGTTTACCTTTAGTTTGGAAGATCAGGTCTTAGCTGTCAAATGCAATAGTAGGTGTCTGAAGCTACGATTTTACTGGAGCAATGCACCCTGCCTATGAAGGCAAGACGCAGACGAGTGCCGTGAGTTTATGGGTTGAATAAAGAATTTATGGAGGATGCTTGGTTCTAAAATACGTCCCCTGGCTATGTTTTCAGGGTGAAGCGACTTGCTCTTAGCGCTATGGATGGAACTGTAACTATTTTGCTTTATTGCTTTGCTGTTTGTGAACTCAGTTCTCCCCTCATCCTGCAAGGAAAATCTGGGCATTGGGGAACCCTAAGTCCATTTTAGTTTACATGACCAGTCTTTTATATTTGAAATATTTCAAGTATTTTTTGAATGCCTGTTCAGTACAAGGTGCTTTTTCTATACTACTTGAAACAAAATAGTTGATATTCTCAGCTTAGGGCAGTTCTTTCCTCAAACAATAGTACCCCCTTATAAGCCCATTCTCGTATTTCAGTGCATTCTTTTTATTAAAAAAAAAAAAAAAAAGCTAAACCTCAGGTATCAGTAGCTAATACTGCTGAAGTGGGTCTTTGTGTTGGTGGAGGGGGATAGGGCGAAGGCATTGAGCTTATGAAACCGTCACCTGCATTATTAGATTTTGTTCCCCAAATGCCTTAATTTTGGCTGATATGTTCAGGAAACGTTGACAGCTCCCCAGTAAAGGCCTTGATTTCACCGCCCTTCTTAATGTCTCAGTATTCCTGGTACCTGCTGAATGCAACACATTGATTAGCTGTTACATTCCTAGAACTTTGTGTATTTCATGTCTTTTGAAGAGGAAGTTTCTAGAGTATCAATCACTGGCATACCTTGTAACGGGGATGTGAGGGGAAACTGAAGCTGTGCCTTATAGAGAAGGAAATGGTGTCCTTATTTGCATTTGATACATATGACCCCCGCCGCCCCTCCCCCCCCACAAAAAAGAGCCAGGATGGCAAGCACCTTCTTTTCTGAGCCATTCTGGATTGTTTCCCCATTGCTAGTACATTTCTTCATCTGTGGCTTAATGAGATGGAATCCTAGCAGTACAGATGCTTTCCGGGGGCTGTTCAGGGTTACACTCTTGGGGACATCAGTGTTGCTGGCGGGAAGAAGGGCTAAATTCCTTTCATAATTGCATTAAGAAAAAGTCACATGAAAGTATTATTTTGAATTAGAATCATCTTGATTAAAACCATTCTTGTCTCCAAATTGTTAGCCATTGTTTTATTTGAATAGGTAAATGAAATATTAAACTATTTCTTTTGACATTGCTACTTCTCTCCCGCTATAATAAACTCATTCCCAAACTGAGTAAAGCACACGTACTACATGCTTCATAACTGCTTTTCCTTATTTTTGTATTTATGTATGATCTGTAACGTTTAGCGTGATTGAGTATAACAGCTGGGTATCCGATTTTCTAACAGCGTCCTCAAGCTCAAGAGAAAACAATAGTTAATATAAGTAGTCATTTCCATGTAAGAATACAAATGTTAATATTCCTTGTAATAAATGTGTTTATTTGGCACATGGGCTTTCACTTACTAAAGCTGGTACATTTCAATTTGATACTCGTTTTTTTTGAAAGTTAATCTTTTTTTAGTGCTTTCTTCATTTACTGTCCACAAGTGGTTAATTCCTGAGATGTCTAGCCCAAATGCCATTTTTATAATAATAGCAGGTAGAACAACTTTTTAGTTTCTTCCTATATTTGCGACTTTTACATCTTCTGAAAACTATGTTACCCAATTTGAAATTATCAAAATGGTGAGAACAGCCATTCAAGTTGTTTCTCAGATTCTCCTCACCTTTGTTCTTTACTCTGCTCCAATTCTTTTAAGCCTATTGAGCTCCTAAGGATGTTGGATGAGAAATGTAAAAAAGGAGAGAAGATGTAAATGTGATTAGAATTACAGATTTCCCTGTGTTCTGATTTTATTTCCTAAGTAGTAGTCAAGGTGCCCTTTGCTCTTGTTTATTTTATTCAGAAAAAACAAACAAACAAACAAACTTAGTGAAAGTGTCTTTTAAAGGTCCTTTGATTTTCATTTTATTTACTGGGGAGGAGGGATACTGCTTTTACATTGAAATTCTCTTCCCACATGCATTGTTCACACTTGCATTATTTCCCCGTTTTAAGAAGGTATTTCAGAAAGGAGAAGCTTATAAAAAAATCCAAGACTACCTTCAGGTAGTTTATATACCAACTGGTTTTTGAACAGTGGATGTTCATTGGTACAAGGAGTAGTTTGTGAAAGAACTTTTTCTTGGTAACTTTTGGTTATAAATGGGATAATAAAAATAAACTTGATGTGGCAAAATGAAAATTTAATACTACAGGACACTTTAGTGCTGTGTAGTTTTATTTTTTAAACTGCTTTCATCATGATTTAGTCTTATAATTGTTTCAGGCACAGTGTTGATTCCTTTTCACACGCAAGAGAAACAATCTACCTGGTAACCTCAGAGTTTGGAATTATAGACATTGGGTTTCAAAACTTGGATCTCCCACGTGTAGTGGTGGGCCTAGGTTAATTGCTTATCCTTGAACCTCTGTTTTGTCATCTACAAGATGGGAATCTTAGTTTTTTTTTTTTTTTTTTTTTTTTTTTTTTTTTTTAATGTTTATTTATTTATTTTGAGAGAGAGTGAGCGTGAGTGGGGGAGGGGCAGAGAGAGTCCCAAGCAAGCTCAGCACTGTCAGTGCAGAGCCCGACTTGGGGCTTAATCCCATGAACTTTGAGATCATGACCTGAGCCGAAATCATGAGTCTGACGCTTAGCTGACTGAGCCACCCAGGTGCCCTGGGAATCTTAGTTCTTGAAGAGTTGTTGCATACACAGAATGAAATAATGTGTGTGTGTGTGTATAAGATAGCACAACTCCAGGCACATAGGAAGTGCTCACAGAATGTGTTGTTGTCACTACAGTTTTTTAATTTAGTGTCATGATTTTAACTAGACTTGGGCTTTAAGGGTGAAATTTTAGTTTTAGATCTCTATGTAACAGAAGATGTTTTTTATATTAACTAGGTTTTTTTTTGGCCACAAATGAGTATTTCTAAAATTGGGAAATACCTTTGTTTTTTAAATAAGATTATTCAGCTATTTTATATCTATGCTTATTTTTTTTAAGTTTACTTATTTATTTTGAGAGAGAGAGAGAGAGAGAGAAAGAGAACACACTAGCACACATGTGGCTGGGGGAGGGGCAGAGAGAGAGAGGGAGAGAGAATCCCAAGCAGCAGGGCTCCATTGGTAAGATCAGGACCAGAACTGAACTCAAGAGCCAGACACCTAATGGACTGAGCCACCCGGGCACCCTAGGAAATATATTTCTATTCAAAATGGTATTTATTAGATTATAGTGACTCTCTTGTTTCTTCTCATGAGCTAATGGAAGCTCTAAGAAAGAAACCTATCTGAAATGATTTTTATTATGTTATGGAAAACATATCTATATCTATGTATCTATATATCTGTATTTGTATCTATATATTTCCATGAACTAATGGAAAGTCTAGGAAACAAAACTATGCTACTGCTGGCTGCAGCACCCCACAGCCACGGCCTCCACTACCACGGCCACGGCTCTGCTGTCTGTAATTCAGGGAGGTGAAGTAGTGCACACAGGATGGTTTAAGGATGTATATACTAGATGGCTGGTGGCCATAGTCACTCATGGACAGTAATCTGAAATTAAGACTTGTATCTCATGAATTTAACCTTTTTTTGCTGCTTGAACAACATAGTTGTGTTGATAAGATTTCCAAAGCCATAGAAGGAACCCAGGCTCTGATGTTGGGGCAGATTATTAATATCAGGATCGCCCCGTGTTGAAGCCCATTCACCAAAACCCACCAGAAACCACCCTGTACTCAAACAAATTTGGCTCATTTTGCTTGCTGCAGCAAGGACTATCACTCATTGTAGGAATCGTGGGTGTCATGGGTAAAGGGCAGCCAGGAAGGGGCTTTTTCTAAGATTTGAGCTTGTGCTGGGTGATCTCATGGATGGTTTAATGGAGCGGGGCAGTTCAGGAGTTGGGTGTCTTGATAACTTGCTTAGGCGTTGGGAAGATGAAGGTGGGGGTAGTCGCCATGATTGAAGAAGCAGCAGTCAGTCTTGTTGATCAAAAGAGGGGGATGTTCAGTCATTTGTGAGGCTGCAGAGTGTCCCTGTGTCTCTGCTTCTCCACCACAGGTCTCAGGTGGCCCTGTCTCATCACTGCGGGGTGATTCTGTTCATGTTGTCTGTGTTGGCTTGTAAACATGAACTTAGTTCAAGTGTTAGGGCGGCTTGTCACTTTCTCCTCTGCAAAATCTAGTGTATGCTTTGATGGTCATGAGAATCACGTGTTTCATGTTTATCTGGGCCTTTAGTGAAGCATAATGGTAGGGCAGTGAGTCTGAGTTTCTACTTTAAGGCCACAGAGAATGACTGTGCACTAGGGGCTTGAATTGTGCTAATCACACCGTTGTTCGTCATAGTCCTCTTACCAGAAAATGTAAGTGTTGTGTGTGTCCCCATCCTTCCTGCCACATTTTAAGTTCCTTTCTGCCAAGTGTCCAACATCCTGTATTTGTATAATTGGCTTTAGGAGGGGCTCAGTTTGGAGAACTTAAGAATAACATTTTATAATTTTTCTATCCTCCCCCATCCACTTTCCAGCTTGTCAAGACTTTCTGGAATATGGATTTTTATCTTGTGTGTGTGTGTGTGTGTGTGTGTGTGTGTGTGTGTGTGTGTAATTTACTTTCTATGTTTGGTAAAAGCACCGTCTAAGTCTATAACATTTGTTTTTGTTATTAATTGGTATAACACCAAAAGGAAAATTCCAGCAGATGCCTCTCCTAAGCAGAAATGATGCATAAATCACTGGCCTCTCAGTATAACTTGAAGAAACCATAAACCTGTTTTGGTAAAATGGGGTCATGAGAGACTTTGGTCATATCCTTTATTGCAACAGATTGTCTGTGGGTGTGATATCTGACCTACTTGGTTAAGTAACAATAGCTTTACTTTTAGTAGAGAATAGTCATTTTCCATATCTACCTTTCTCTTGTAAAAACCTGACCTTCAGCTAGAAGAAAAGACAATAGCAATTGTGTCCTCAGTTCTTCCTCTTTTCAGCTTTAGAAATTTCAAATTTCACTAATGTCTCTGTTAAAACCATCCTAAATTGATTAGTTATTCTTCTATGAATCACAATAAATAGGACGGCTTTTTTTTTTAAAGTTTATTTATTTATTTATTTAGAGAGAGTGAGCATGCACGCAGGGGGAGGGGCAGAGAGAGAGAATCCCAAGCTGACTCTGAAGATAGTGGTTTGAACTCATGAAGTGCAAGATCATGACCTGAGCTAAAATCAAGAGTTGAACACTTTTAAAAAAAAAAAAAAAATTTTTTTAACGTTTATTTATTTTTGAGACAGAGAGAGACAGAGCATTAATGGGGGAGGGTCAGAGAGAGAGGGAGACACAGAATCTGAAACAGGCTCCAGGCTCTGAGTGGTCAGCACAGAGCCCGACGCGGGACTCGAACTCATGGACTGTGAGATCATGACCTGAGCCGAAGTCGGACGCCCAACCAACTGAGCCACCCAGGTGCCCCAAGAGTTGAACACTTAACCGACTGAGCCACCCAGGTGCCCCGATAGGACAGCTTTTTAAAAAAGTTATTATATTCTATTCTTTTAAAATTATTTATTTTATTTTTATTCCAATGTAGTTAACATACAGTGTTGTATTAGTTTCAGATGTGCAATATAACAATTCAACAATTCCATGTATTACTCAGCGCTCACCAAGATAGTGTTCTCTTAGTCTCCACCTCCCCTTTGGTAACCATCAGTTTGTTCTTTATAGTTAAGAGTCTGGATCTCATGGGTGGCTCAGTTGGTTGAGCATCTGACTCTTGATTTTGGCTCAGGTCATGATCCCAGGGTTGTGGGATCAAGCCCCATGTTGGGCTCTGTGCTGAGTATGGAGCTTGTCGGGATTCTCTGTCTCTCCCTTTGCTCCCTCTCCTGTATCCTGTCTCTATAAAAAAAAAAAAAAAAAAAAAAAAAAAAAAAGAGTTTGTTTCTTGGTTTCTCTCTCTTTTTTTTCCTTTGCTCCTTTGTTTCTTAAATTCCACATAAGAGGGAAATCATATGGTATTTGTCTTTCTCTGACTTGCTTATTTCACTTAGCATAATACCCTGTAGCTCCATCCATGTTGTTGCAAATGGTAAGATTTCATTCATTTTTTGGCTGAATAATATTCCATTGTGTGTGTGTGTGTGTGTGTGTGTGTGTGTATTACACGTACACACACACACACATGCATTCCCTATATATATACCACTTCTTATCCATTCATCTGTTGATGAACACTTAGGCTTCCATAGTTTGGCTCTTGTAAATAATGCTGTAATAAACATAGGGATGACATATCCCTTTGAGTAGTATTTTTGTATTCTTTGGGTAAATACCCAGTAGTGCAATTACTGGATCATAGATAGTTCTATTTTTTATTTTTTGGGGAACCACCACCCTGTTTTCCATTGAGGCTGCAACAGTTTGCATTCCCACCAATAGTGTAGGAGGGCTCCTTTTTCTCCACATCCTTGCCAACACTTATTGTTTCTTTTAAAAATTAATTTAAATATTTAAATTTTTTAATTTTAATTTTTTAAAATGTTTATTCATTTTTGAGAGAGAGAGAGAAAGAATGTGAGTAGGGGAGGGGCAGAGAGAGAGGGAGACACAGAATCTGAAGCAGGCTCCAGGCTGTCAACACAGAGCCCAACGGGGGGGCTCGTACTCACAAACTGTGAGATCATGACCTGAGCTGAAGTCAGATGCTCAACTGACTGAGCCACCCAGGCACCCCACTTTTTTATTGAACTATAATTGACACACAATATCCTGTTAGTTTCAGGTGTACATCATAATGATTTGGTATTTTTATATATTATGCAATGATCCCCACAATAAGTCTAGTTACCATCTGTGACCATACAAAATTATTACATTAGTATTGACTGTATTCCCTATGTTGTACATTACATCCCCATGACTTATTTATTTTATAGCTGAAGAATCTGAATCCCCTTTACCTCTTTCATCCATCCCCCAACTCCTCCCCACTCTTGTAACCAACAGTTTGTTTCCTATATGCATGAGTCTGCATTCTGTTTGTTTTGTCTGTTTGTTTGTTTTGTTTTTTAAATTTCACGTATATTTGAAATCATATAGTGTTTGTCTTTCTCTGACTTATTTCACTTAGCATAATCCCCTCTAGGTCTTTGATTAGCCGTATCAAGTTCCCATATGGCCGTTAAGTAAGTTGAATGTATAATGCACTTTTATAGAGAGAGAATGAGATTTTGCACTTTCATGTTTTTATGAAAGAATGCACATTCTCTTGAAAATTCAAAATACTGAAAAATACATAGAGAGCAAAATTTGCCCTCCAGAAATAACCACCAATAACCTTTTGTATTACCCTTTTAAACACCCTCATCAGCCATCTGCTCTGGATATAAATATTTTTAAGAGATTTTTGTAAATGTTTATTTATTTATTTTTGAGAGGGTGCAAGGTGGGGGGAGCAGAGAGGGAAGGGGACAGAGGATCTGAAGCAGGCTCCATGATGACAGCAGTGAGCTCTATGTGGGGCTCAAACTCACAAACCTCGAGATCATGACCTGTACTCCACACTTATCCGAGGTGCCCCATTGTATAAATATTTTTTGAAAGAATGTAGAATCACTTTATTTTTCTTAGTTACCATTGTAAGCATATCAGTACTTCC